TCACAAACACATTTACATACATCCACATTCACACTCATCCTTCCCAAATAGAGGTTTCCCCACTATTCAAATGCAGAGCATCCCTATGAAAACTTTCATAAGCCCAAACGGTGTAAAGTGAAGAATATCCCCCGCTGTCTCAAAGTTTGTGTTATGTCACTTTGCTTTTATGACAAAAAAAACCCCACATTACCTTACTAATGTAGGCCTTTCGTGAAAGGGAAATGGGTTAATGAGAACTTCTGGAAAGCAGGGTATACCTGTATACCCAAATGTCTCACATACATGCTCTACCCAGAAACACCAAGGTTCTCTCTTACATATGCACAATCCAGACACTTTTCCTCTCCCTCTCTTTTCCTGCTCTCTCCAGATAGACCTTCACTTATACATGTACATTCACATCAAAATTTCTGCCTGGGTGGCATAATTTGGGTACTGTCTGTGAAAATCATTTACAACCCCAGACACCATACACCATGACCCTTTGTCCTGGGCCTTTGATGGTGGGGTGATAGAAAGAGATCTTTGTGTTTCAAGAAATCCTCTTCTGAAGAGGTCACTGGCCCCATTCCCTGGTAGGACATCAGTCATGATTGGGTCCTACTTCTTGGGTGTGAATGATAACAGGAATTATCCCCAGATCATTCATTAAAACATGTAGTCAAGGCCAGAGAGGCCCCAGAAGGGGGTCATGGATTGCTCAGGTGTTATAGTTTGCCATTCTGTGGGATGTCTACACACTTAGAACCAGATATGGTTTAGCAGAATGCCACTGACTCTCAGACAAGTACATAAATACATGCTGGGATACACAGAATATCACATAGACTTCTAAGTATCCTGCCTTATCACCCCCTTAGTGATAGAGATTATAGGCACAGGCTCAAGGCCAAGTATCTCTCTCTCACACACATACCATCAGAGAAGGACATGCACAAATACCTACACTCATCCCTACACATAGATACACTTACAACAATGCACACTCACACTGCACTTGATTTCACATGTACACATCCATTTACTCTCAAACATAGACATACATGCATGGTAGACATTCACAAGACATAATAATGCCCATCAAAGACAAACATTCATTCACAAATACAGGTGTACTTACACATGGCCACAGACAGGCAGACTCTATATCATACCCAACGAGACAATGAATAAACATGACACACCGAAGTGAGCTCCCAAATGTATACACACACACACCCCAAGACTTGAGCACATAAACATAGTCTCACTTATTCACACATGGGTATACTCACACATATAAATGCCGAGATGTGTACATGTTTGTCAATGATATGATGTATTCACATAACAGACATTCTAAACACATAGACTTATATACACAACTGAGTGTGTACACCTGTACCATACTGACATGCACACAGACTTGTACAGCATTCATTACTCTATGCATACAATCAGACGCAGACACATAAGTGTACTTAAAAACACACGCACACAGAGATGTGCACACCATATATGTTCCTACACGTTCATACGCCCACATAAGAGGTGTGCAAATAAAAGAGGATTCATTTACACTTGGACACAAAGGCATGTTTGCACACATGCACACATGGAAGAACAGTCACATATTCTCACATACTTGTACATCTGCACAAGGAGAATTTATAACACCATCACAGACACACACATGCAGAGATGTCCTCATACACACACGAATCACTTATAGGCCAACAGTGGCATGCACATATATTTATTTGCACTGTTCCACAACATACATTCCAGGACAAACAATGGTGTATAAACACAACACATATATGCACATAATTAGAACTGCACAAACTGCCACATTCACATATCTGTACTTTCAGATAGCCACACAGGCATATTCATATATACACACTTAGGTGTGTCTGAACACACAGGAAACATACAGACATGTTCACTCAAATGCACATACAGCCAGACATTCAGTCACTAACATAGCCACACTCACACTTAGAAATTCAAACAAAACATGAGATATGTGTAACCAAATATTATGAAATGTACTTATTCATGCATACCATAATCAGACATGCACTCACACAAACAGTGTATCCACAAAAAATTAGACATATACACAAATGCATTCGTTCACCTATGCACACAGGCTTTTGTACATATATATACAGATATACACCTCCCCAAGCCCTACTCATATACATGAGCAAATGTGCACACATAGGCATATGCAAAAATATATTTTCATGCACAAAACATGTATTTACACACTCTTCCTTACCCACAAAATTAGTTCTCTTTCCACTAGTGTGGCCACCTACACTAACATTTCCCCAATCAGATGTGATCCCCTAAGTCTGTCTACAGACAAAATGTACTCACAGACATATATATATATATATATATATATATATATATATATATCTATCTAAAAATACTGGAGATTCCAAATGGACATTCAGACACATGCTTACTCATACATACACATGACAGACACACCCATACATGAAGCATGTTTACATGCATACCCTGGCATATACTCATGGACCTACACACATGCCCCTATACTCACAAACACACCATTTAAATGCGCCTATACTCATATGCACACATGGGCACACAAATGTGCACAATCAGATACAAGTAGGCATTTACCTAATTGGACATGCATAGCCAGGCATTCTGAAATCCTCAAACTCACACACCTACGCTCACACATGCACACTGAAAGACAAATTGATGCCACACACACATACAACCAGACATTCAACAGGCTTATTGGCTCAGAGAAACACCCTCACTTAGACTCAGAATCAAATATGCCCATTTACTCATCCAGACAGACATGCAAAGTCATATCCACTCCCCAATACACATACAGAAGCCTACCCACACACTTGCACACACTATCACATAGCCTGCTCACACACAAACTCATACCTATTCACAGTGCCCATGAACCGAGACACAAACACAACCAGACTACACACATAGCCACATGTTTTCACTTGCACATATACACCCATGCTGAGGGCCAGATGCCTCTGGACCACAGGCTGGATCCTTTCTCTTCTGCACCAAATACTTCTTCAGAAGAACCTACTCTAGACCACAAAGTCCCAACCCTCCCTGTCCCTACATAAGGTGTTTTCTGGACCTCCATCTTTTTCTATTCTCCTCCTTCCCAGCCTTGGGGATCCCTTTCCAGCCACTGACCCACTACCCAGTGCTTCACCACATCTCCACACCTGGAAACCAGCCGGCAAACCCTATGGTTTCCCCAGCACAGGCTCTAGGTTAGCAACTCCCTGGGACCCGTCCCTCACATGTCTGGCTGCTCTATGGGCCACACCCCAGCTCTACCCAAAGCCCTGCTATCTTAGAAGCTTCGGCGTTGTCTACAGGCCCTGCCAACCACTGACCACAGGCCAAACTCTTGCCAAGTCTCCCCTCAACAGGGAGACGCATACATCACCAGGGCCAGGAATACTGCAGGCTGCAATCCAGGCCTCTGCTAAATCGGGACCTGGTGGGGGGGGGGCTCAAGTCTGTCTGTGTGTGTGTGTGTGTGTGTGTGTGTGTGTGTGTGTGTGTGTGTGCACAGACAGGGTGACAGGGGCAAGTGCAAGGAAAGAAGCCTGGAGTCTGGTAGGGGCAGGAGGCTCTGCCCACAGCCACCACTTATCACTCCCTACAAATAAGCAGTTATAACAAGAGCTGATCCTGCCTCCACTACTCACTCCACCCCCCCCGCCCCCGCCATTTGCCTACCTGCTGCCCTCCCGAGATCTCCGCCAAGACCTTGGAGAAGAGAGGTCAGTCCCTCCCAGAAATAATCACTAACAATATTAATCATGAATAATCAGCAACAATATTGATCATGAGCTTTGCTGGCATTGCTTCAGGGCCACTTCTGCACACATCCTTTATTTCTATGCACCAACTCATTTAGTCACTACACATACCCATTATGGAAGGGTCACTAGTCTCTCTGCCAGATAGGAAAACTGAGGTTTTAGTAAGTGTCCCATTTCCACTGAAGTTGCAAGAGCTAGCAGTTGGGGGAAGTGTCCCTGGAGAATCTACGTTCTCCATGTACCAGGCTTTTTGTCCCTGCACACATAGAGACCACTGACCACTGTGCACAGGCTGTAAGACCTGGGGGTCCCAGACACAACATGGTGTCTGAAACACAGAGAGACAGCCTTGTGATAGAGGGTGGGGTCCACATTGTGGGCATAACCATGCTGTGTCTGGCCTCTGCAGGGTGATGTGTGGTGTGGTCCTTGTCTCGACAGAGCCATCAGGCAGCCTAAGGCCTGGAAATGCTCCCCACCCCCACTTCAGCTTCCTTTCAGCCCTACAGTGGCTTCCTCACCCTATCCTGGAATCACAGCAATATCTTCAGTGGTGAGTGAGCAAAAGTCTGCTACCTGTGGGGAAAGACAGGGGAGGGAGGGGAGAAGGAAAGAAGGGGTGGGGGTGGTCTGGGCTAGGAGCAGCTTCTCTGTCATGTCTACCCACCTGCCTGGTCACACTCACAGAGAGACAGACAGACAGACACACGCGCTGCATGCAAGCCGAGGAAACTGGAGGAGAGTGGAGGAGGAGGGAGAGGGAGAGGAGGCAGCTGCAGGAGGCCGAGCCTGCCTCGGGTGCAGGCATTGTGAGGAGAACACGACAGACTCCCAGGCATGCCTTCCTCAGCTAGCACACAAGGAAATATTCACACAGCCTCTTGCTCAAAGGCAACCGTAATGAGAAAAACAGACCCTGTGCTGGGGAAACAGGTGGTGGTTCCCTTTCTCATGGGACATTTGGGATTGGGAAAGGTGGGGATGGCTAGAGGACTCTCCGGGCTTGGGTGCCCAAGTAGCCCTTGTGATGGAGCGGAGAGACTGACAGACAGAGAAAGAGAGAGCATGGCAGTGATGGAGTCTCTGAAATCTATAGAGAAAGACAGAAGAGAAGTCCCAGCCCCCATCCTCCGTGGAGGGATGCTGACTACTCACCTGGGCTCTCTCAGCAGGGAGGTCCTGGAATCCAGAGAGGGGGCTCAAGCCGTCTCACCAAGGATAAATCACAGCGCAGGCCACATTGTGGGACCCTCGGTGATCTGGCCGCCTGTGACACTCCTGCTTCTGTTGCCGTGGATACAGCTGGGCTGGTCTAAATCGCAGACATCAGGGGAAGCAGGCACGGGAGGGGTGCACTGGGCAGGGGTGGGGGTGTTGGGGAACACCAGATGGGCAGCACACAGCCTCGGGGTGCCCAGCTGAATGGCAGGTGGGGGTCCAGGCAGGTGCTTCCCCCACTACACACTCCCACCCCCATCTTCATGCCACCGCCAAGCTGGGAGGGGGGCCAGCGCTGGCCCCTGCTACCCGTCTGCCCGCCTGGCTGCTGGTCTCTCCCCCCTCCCCGTCCCCCCCTGTCTGCCTGCTGGCCGCCGCCTTTTGTCCTCAGAAGACACGGTCCCTGCGGGGCCTCTGCCAAGCCTCTAGCAGATGCTCAGGGTCCGGGGCTCCTCCCTGGGAGCACCCAGGCTATGGCCTGGGAGAGCCCCAGTTTGAGGGGGCTCTCATCCAGGCTCACCACGCACCCTAGGCCTGGCGGGGATGGGGAAGAAGTGCCGGTCCAAGCCAGAGGCAGCAGCAGAGGTGGTGTTGGGGAGGGGATGGACGCCAGAAAGAGGGGGTGGGGTGGAGACAGAGGCTGGCCTGATAGCTGTGTCCCGGGTTTTAGATCCGGGTTGAGGAGGGTGGTTCAGAGCATCCGAGGGGGGGGTCCTGATGCAAAATGGGGGCACCACGGGTGTGCCGAAGGGACCTTCCTGGACTGGGAACCACCCCAGCTCACACCAATCCAGGTCCCAAGATGCTGGGACACTCACACTGGATAGAGCATCAGCTGGGAGCCCAGGGCTCTAAGCTGGACCCCATCCTGACTGTCCGTCCCCCCTCTCCTCGATTTGCACGGTCCCTGCCTCAGGGGCGGGCGGAGGAGGGAGGAGGGAGGGAGGCTTGGAGGAAGAGGGAGGAAAGGAGGGAGGCTGAACAGGCAGGGAGACTCCCAGCCGCCAGCCTGGTCCTCCCTGGGGCGGGGCGCGGAGGGGGTGCTGGTGAGGCTGGGGAGCAGCCGGCCGGCCGGCTGGGTGGGGATGTGGCGTGGGGGCTGCGCTGCCAGGACAATAGCTGGCTGGGGAAGTCAAACCCCGGCTTTTCCGAGATGCTCGAGATGCTCAAGAGAGGCATGCGTGGGGAGAGGTGGCCAAGAGGCCGCTGAGAGAGGAACTTACAGGGGTTGCAAGTGCAGAGGAGACAGTGATAGGGGCTCTGGGTTAGGGTGGGACACAAATGTCCTGTGGAAGTTTTCAAAAGCTTTGGGGTTGGAGGATGATTAGAACTCTGAGAGGCGTGTAGATAACGTTATTTAGAATGTGTTCTATGGGCATTTTCCCAGCCAAGTCCTGGGGGTAGAGTTCAGGGTGGGGCAGGGAATGCTGCCCAGCTCTGAACAACGCCTCTCCGAACATCTCCTGTGCCGGAGATGGGCCCGTACACAGGCAGGTCCCCATACTTCAGGCTATGTTCCAGGACAGCAGAATGGGACAGGTGAGATTTGGAAACAAAAATATCCCACCTTGAATGGATTAAATTGGGGCCAAATGGTGCCATAGTGGGTCCCTTTATTTATAGCTTTCGAGAATTCCAATTCCCTCCACATAAGCAATTTTATTTCCTTTCTCTCCTCACCCATTGGTTCACCCACTTTTTAAAGACCTGCTTTATGCTAGAGCCAGTGCTGTGTACTGGCAATCGGGTGAATCAGACTTGCTCTGCTACCAAACTGTGGTCTGGCAGCCCACCGGCATGCAAATCCCTTACAGAGCTTGTGAAATGTGGATCCCTAGGTCTACATCCCAGAAATACTAATCCAGGAGGTTTGAAATGAGCCTCTAAAACCCCATTTTGACAAGGCTGCCAGGTGGTTGTTTTTATGCCCACTGAAGTTTGGGGAGGAAGAAAAACCCATGAGTCAAAGATAAATTCACAGTGGAAATGAAAGTGTATTTTGAACTGTTATGGAAAATATTACATCTGAAATCCTGTGTGATGTTCCTCGTGCTATGCTTAGGGAAATTTATAGCCTTCAATTTTTAAAGAGATTTTATTTATTTATCTTTAGAGGGGAAGGGAAGGACAGAGGGAGAGAAATATCAATGTATGGTTGCCTCTAGTGTGTCCCCTGCTGGGAACTGGCCTGCAACCCAGGCATGTGCCCTGACTGGGAATCAAACCGCGGTTGTTTGGTTCACAGGCCTGTGCTCAATCCACTGAGCTACACTAGCCAGGGCCTATAGCCTTAAATTTTATATATTATTTTTAAAAGGCTGAAAGTCTACCCCAAGAATTTAGAAATAACAAAGAAAGTAGAGGAAAAAACAGATAACACAAATCAATGAACTAGAAAAACTGAATTACAACAGAGAGGATCAACAAGGCTAAAAGTTGGTTCTTTGGAAAAAATTAGAAAAAAATGATAAATCCCTGAGACTCGCCCAGAAAAAATATATACAAACCACATAAGTAGCATCAGGAACACTGCAAGGGGCACTACAATATGGGTCACAGGTCCATTAAAATGTAATAAGACAGTACTATGAAGAACTTTATAGCTACAATTTCAAAAATTGTGAGAAAATGGGAAAAATCCCTGGAAAAATACAATTCACTCACAGAAGAAAAATTTAAATTGCAACAATCCTGTAACTATTGAATTTAATAATTGAATTTATAATTGGAAACCTTTCCACAAAGAAACCTCCAGACCAGAGACTGTAAATGGAGAGCTCTACAAAATATTTAAAGAAAAAAAATAACAGTGATCGAATTGTACACAAATTATATGAAAAATTATATGATGATTTCAATAGGTGAAAGAGAGCATGATGACAAAGGACTTAGCAAACTTAAACTTGCTACAAATATAAGGGAAATTCCTCGATTTAATATATGTTGTCTAAAGAAAATCTATTTTCATCTAAGATTGAGAATGAGGCAAGGATGTCTACTATAAGAACTTTTATGTTAGTTAAATTATACTGGACGTCCTGGCTATCGCCCTAAAGCAAGAAAAATATTTTTTTAAAGATTTTATTTATCTGTAGCTGGGAAGGGAAGGAGACAGGGAGAGAAACATCAATGTATGGTCGCCCTCGTGTGTCCCCCACTGGGAGCCGGCCTGCAGGGAACCAGCCTGCAACCTGGCATGTGCCCTGAGTGGGAATCGAACCGCGATCGTCCGGTTCGTAGGCCCGCGCTCAATCCACTGAGCTACACCAGCCAGGGCAAGAAAAATATTAATAAATAAGAGACATAAGGAATAGAAAGGAAGACAGAAATGTACGAATCAATTTGTAGGCAATATAATATGATATAAAACCACACTCACTAGAGTGACTAAAAAGAAAAAGAGCGTACTGAATGTTGGGGAGAATGAGGAGTGGTTGGAATTCCTATGCAATACTAATGACAGTGTAAATGGATAAAACCACTTCAGAAACTGCTGAGCTATATCTACTAAAGGTGACCGCACGCAGACCCCATAACCCAGCAGCCCTACTCCTACGTATGTGCCCAACAGAAATGCTTATATGTTTATCAAAAAACATGTGCAGTAATGTTCATAAAAGTGTTATTTGGATTAGTCCAAACCGGAAACGACTCAAATGCCACCAACAGAAGAATGATAAATAAATCGTGGTATATCCACACAGTGGAATACTACACATCCACAAGAAGAAATGCCCCACGCTACAGGTAACAATATGGGTGGATTCCATAAATGTTGTACTGAGCAAGATAACACAGACACAAAAGAGCATGCACAGTATGGTTCCATTCAGATAAAGCTCTAAACGAGGTGAAACGAATCTGTGGTAATAGACATCAGAATTACAACTGGGGTCTGAGTAGGAGGCCCAAGAGGCTTTTCTAGAATTCTGGGAATGTTCTGTTTCCTGATTTCCCTGCTGATTACATGGGTGGTTACTTAGTAACAATTCGCTGTGAGCTGTGCGCTCATGCCTGGTGTACTTTTATTGATGTGTTAGACTGTAAAAAAAACAAGTTTCTAAAAATGAGAAGTCAAGTAAGTAGTCAGATTGTTTCATCATAATGAAAGGCAAAGGTGGGAACTGGGGGGCTGTGGGAGCTTGAGGATGTCAGGATCTGTGTAGGGAGAGGTATGGGCAAGTGAATTGGAAGCCTTTTAAAATTTATTTATTTATTTATTTATTTTAAGACAGAGGGGAAGGGAAGGAGAGAGAGAGAAGGAGAGAAACATCAATGTGTAGTTGCCTCTCGACCACCCCCTACTGGGGACCTGGCCTGCAACCCAGGCATGTGCCCTGACTGGGAATCAAAGCCGCGATACTTAGGTTCTCAGGCCGGTGCTCAATCCACCAAGACACATCAGGTAGGGCTGGAAGATGCTTAAGAAGCAATATAGTAGTGGCTAAGAGCATGGACTCTGGGTCCAAGCTGCTTAGGTGTGAATCCATGCCTCTTCCCTTCCCTTCACCTCAACTTCTTTATTAGATGGGGTCATAATAGTACCTACATGGAGTTGTGAGGATAAATGAGGTAATGTTTGTAAAGTGTTCATAATAATGTCAAGTCATATAATTATTACCACGCACACCTTGATTAAATTTAAAAAGGTGCCCACATGAGTGAATAGCTTGTATAAAAGCTTGGGCGTGAAGTGAGGGTTCCAGAAAGCCAGATGCATTTGGAGCATGGTGACAGCATTCTGTTCTGGCCTGGGTGAGGCATGCTCCTCTGGTGTGCCAGCCAGACCCTGAATACCAGGCTAAGGATCTCAGACTTCCTCCTTTATTTTTTTAAATTGCATTTTACTGAGTATACTTTTACAGTTGTCCTGATTTTTCCCCCTTTGTCTCCATCCACCCAATACCCCTGACCCCCTCAGGCAATCCTCCCACCATTGTTCATGTCCATGGGTCGTGCATATAAGTTCTTTCGCTACTCCATTTCCTATACTGTACTTTACATCCACATGGCTGTTCTGTAACTGTGTCTTTGTATGTCTTAATCCCCTCACCTCTTCACTCATTCTCCCCCACCCTGCTCCCATCTGGCAACCATCAAAACACTCTCCAAATTCAAGATTCTGTCTCCATTCCTTCCATTTTCTTAGTTTGTTTGTTTTTTTTAGATTCAATTATTGGTGGATATGTAGTTATTGCCATTTTATTATTCATAGTTTTGATCTTCCTTTCCTGAAATAAGTCCCTTTAATATTTCATATAATATTTGGTGATGATGAACTCCTTTAGTTTTCTCTTATCTATGAAGTTCCTTATCTGCCTTTCAGTTTTAAATGATAGCTTTGCTGGGTAGACCAATCTTGGCTATAGGTCCCTGCTTTTCATGACCCTGAATATTTCTTGTTAATCTCTTCTAGCCTGCAAAGTTTCTTTTGAGAAATCAGCTGACAGTCTTATGGGAACTCACCTGAAGGTAACTAACTTCTCTTGGTGCTTTTAAGATTCTCTCTTTATCTTTAACCTTTGGCATTTTAATTGCGATGTGCTTGGAGTAGGCTTCTTTGCATACATCTTGTTTGGGACTTTCCGTGCTTCCTGGACTTGCATTTC